TCACTCCTGCTTGATCTGAAAAGCCCCATTCCTCTCTCTCCAAACCCCACCCTCTCAGAGAATCTCCAACAAAGAAAAGGCACCAAAAAGCTCAGTTCCACATTCTTGGCGGCTGCAGCAGCTCCTCCCTGAAGCTGCCAGCAGCCCAAGACCCCGCCTGAAGTGGTCAGCTTTTGACCATACTTGGGCAGAAACCCAGCTTGTCACGGACACATCATCACCCCTCGCCTACAGGCTATATAAGCTCCCTGCTTTAGTTCGGCCACCTGACTTCTCCTATCTCTGGGACTGAAGGACTCACCCAGGAGTTGCTTTGCTCAAACAAACCTGTTCTTTTACTTTTTAAATTTGGCTTGATCTGGCTTACAGAATCCATGGAGAAGCCTATTATCACAATAGAGAAAACCTATTATTTATATTAAGACCTTCAATGATGAATCCACTTTGGTTCAGAGGTCACACAGCAATAGGGTACCAAAAGGTGTTAAAGCTATGGCTCAGTGGTTAGGAGCAATGGCTGCTCCTCCAGAGATCCTGAATTCAATTCCAAGAGCATGTATAGTGGCTCACAGCCATCTATAACTGTCTGCAGTCCTATCGAATCTGATTCCCTCTTCTGATGTGAAGACAAAACATCCACATACATAAAATACACAAATAAATGAGAGAGAGAGAGAGAGAGAGAGAGAGAGAGAGAGAGAGAGAGAGAGAAAAGAAAGTGAAGTCAGGCAGTGGAGGCACACACCTTTAATCCTATCACTCAGGAGGCAGAGGCAGGCAGACCTGAGTTCAAGGCCAGCCTGGTCTACAGAGTGAGGTCCAGGAAAGGCACAAAACTACACAGAGAAACCCTATCTCAAAAAAAAAAAAAAACAGCAACAACAAAACAAAACAAAAACAAGAAGGTATTTCCAGTCAGATGAAAGAGAGGGCTCAGAGGATGAGAATGCACACAGCTCTTGCAAAGGACCAAAGTTTAGCTACCAGAACCCACATCTGGCAGGTCACAACTGCCTGTAACTCCAGCTCCAGGGGATCTGATGCTCTCTTCTGGTCTCCAAGGGCATCTGTACTCATGTGCACAAAGCGCGCACACACACATAATAAAAAAAAAAATAAAACTCTTTAAAGAAGATATTTCTAGCCTTGTTTATTTTTAGAGAATAGGCAGTTTACTTTCATACAGTACCCTGTGGCTTGTTCTATAAAGGGAACTGAATCAATAATCTGAATGATTCCCCTTTAAAACAATTTCACTAAAACTCTCAGATATTTTCTTTCCCAACTAGTACCTGCAAAGATGAAAAGCTTATAGTTGGAAGGTGTTAATTCCTCATTAATTTTTCCCAGTATGAGACAATAAGTATAAAAGCAAACCAAAGCTCTCTAAATAGACATTTCAAATGCAAAGTGTGTCGTTGTTTACAGTTAACTGCAGATTTGAACAGGTCTAATGAAATCACATTTGGTCATAGTATATTTGGTAGCTGAGTAATGGCAGACTAGAGCAGTCATTCTTATCTACAAATTCAAAGGGTGGAACTAGGGATGTAGCACAGTTTTTAAATGTACTTGCCCAGTATGTCCTACACTTACATAAACCAGGCATGGTAGTTCATGGCTGTAATCTCAGTACTCAGTAGGTAGAAGCAGAAGGATAAGAAATTCAAGGCCAACACTAGCTATATATCAAGTCTGAGGACAGCCTGAGACAGGTGAAACCCTATGGGGGGGCAGTATTTGGAAATATGGTTTCTATCTCTTTTATTTCTGTTGCTAAGCAATATAGGGGAGAAGGGATTTATTTTAGCTAGCAATTCCAGGAGACAGTCCATCATTGTGGGAAGTTCATGCCAGCAGGAGCTTAAATCATGCAGTCCCATCCTATCCACAACTAAGAGCAGAGAGAAAATGGATACATGCACGATCACTTGCTTGCTTATTTGTGCTCACTTTGATTTCCGCGTTTACACAGTTCAGGACCCCCTGCCTAGGGAATGGTACTGCATACAGTAGGCTAGGTCTTTCCACATCAATTAACTTAGTTAAGACAATCCCCCACAGGCCAATCAAATGTAGACAACCCATCATTGAGACCACCTTCCCAGATGACTCCAGGTTGTGTAAAGTTGGCAGTCAAAGATAACCATCACACTATCCTAAGATGTGAAATGTTATGATCAGTGTCCATACTAAAAAGGAATGTAGAAGGAGAATCCATGGTTAAAGATTCTAAGTGCTATGGAGAAAATAGGATTGGAGGTGTGTGATCAAGAAAAACCTTGGGACCACATGGAATATTTTTGCTAATAAGAAAATAAGACAATACATTAAAGAAAGAGAGGATTGCTGGGCCTGGTGACACAGGCCTATAATGCCAGCTACATGGGAAACGGAGACAGGAGGATTACAAATTCAAGATCTGCCTAGGTTTCAGAGTGAGTTCCAGCCAGCTTGAGTAACTTGATGACTGATAGCTCACGGGTAGAGAACTTTTCTAGTATACCTGAAGTCTTCGGTTTAATCCTCAATAACTAAAGATGGAGAGAAGTGGAGAGAGGAAGGTGTGTGTGTGTGTTGTGTGTATATGGCGGGGGGGCCCCCCCGCGGCGCGGGCGGGAGGTGATGAAGCATTTCCATATCTCAAATCAACAATAAAGCATGTAATCACCCGATTTCCATTCGTCTTCCTGCCTCATTAGAACCTGTCAGGATTTTCCTGTGCTCTCATTAAGATGTACTTTTTTCTTTGCTCTTAATACATGTATTCTCAAAAATACTGTCTTCTGTGTTTGCTCCCCTGCCCCACCTATCCCCACCTTTCCAGTGTTCCAGAGCTTTCAAGGTCTAAAGTAGCTTGGGATGAGTACTCCTGAAAATATCAAAGTTAGAAAACGTAATCAGATTGGAATTGGCCTCCCATGGGATTTGTCAGAAGGAAACGGGTAAGGAGGAGGAGGAGGAGGAGGAGGAGGAGATATTCTATAGCAAGCATGACTCTAAAAGTTTTCACTTACCATCAACTATGTACCTTATCCTTAAATCCACAGGAAGAGTACTGTGCTGTTTAAGACTACAACCATGCTCTTGAGATAAACACACTTAAGTAGAACTTGTGAGTCAAATCACAGCTTTGCGGCATGGTGGAGTGGGAAGGTGTATCTGTGAATATGTAATGGAGTTTTCTAGGCCAGCTTCAGAGAAGGTTGGTCAAGGTTATCGGCACAGCAATGGAATGAAAGGGAAATTCTTTGGATCCAGAGAGATTTCTCTCTGTGTGTGGGGTGCTCTGAAATGTGGTCACAAGCCACTGGAGTGTCTTTGGCTCTTCCGTTTCCTCCACCTCCTCCTGTGGTTCCCAGATTTCAGAAAGTGGTCCTTTCTTGGCTCCCATGTGAGTGCTGCCCGCCTAGCAAGTGCCGGTAGCCAGTCGTTCTGACTTGTGGCAGTCCCCATGCATTCTGCAGTTAGGGCAAAAATGACGAAGTTGGGCGGAGGAGCAAGGATATGCCCTCTAGCCTTGGCCCTGTACCTCACCCTCCAATGCTGCTCTCTGAGTTTTCCCTTGGCCCTAAACCTCACAGTCACCTTCCGACGCCATGTCTCTTGGTAGTGTTCTCTGAGTTTTCTATCCCGAGGGGCATGGCACGGGTCCAGGAGGGATTAGGTAAACAAACAATTTTCGGGACCCTGAGCTCTGTTGCATTTGAAATGGAAATGAAATACAAACTCAAGCTCTCATACCAACTCCTTTGGGGTCAAACATGTTTAGAATTCTAAATTTGATCAAATTTCAGACAGCTAGACTGGCGCATTGGCTGCACATTATGTAACAAGGCAGAAGGATCTGGGGCAGGACACTACCATCAAATAGGAATATATCTGCATTGAAACACATGAATATTCACATTAAGAAAGATAATGACTATAAATAGCCCCTCATCAGTTCAGGGCACACATTGCCCCCACATCAGTTCACATAAGGTCAAGTTTTGCTGCTGGATGACTCAACTACAAAATAACTTCTATTTTCAGTGCTCTTTGGGTTTAATGACTGTGGATGAAGATTGTCGAGCTAGACAGATATTAAGGAGGGTGATCCTGTTTGGTTTGTTACCATGACTCTTTGTGGAAGATAAGACCACACATAGGCATAAATGAGAAAAAAAATGTGTCTTTTCCTTCCCTATTTATCAGCACTTTGGGTCATCTACTTTCTCCTCCCACAGTCTCTGAAGCTCTTGTTTGGAATACCAGGTGTTGGGGCATCTATTCCCAGTTCTACCTGGTAGTGGCTTCTAATGATTGGTTCTTACTCTATTACTGAGTCTTCACTTGGGGATTTGGGGCCTCCTCAAGCTGAATGAGCATCTTAGATGTATTTGGTACCAGTGTGGCCCTCTCCTAGGACTAGGCCCCAAACCTAAGATCTCAGCTCTGAGTCACCCTTTGGTCTCTATGTTGGTTCTACTGTCTTAGTCTCAGTAAATCTGGCCTGGTGGGGCCATCAGGGGCCTCATGCCATGCCGTAGGGTTTTGCTCTTGTTCTCCAGACCTTGTGTGATGGCTAGGACACTTCATCTTGATGCCTTAGGCCAAAGATCCTACTTTGCCCCCCATCATCTTGGAAACTGATGCTTGAGTCCTGCATTGAAAATCCTAGAACAAAGCCCAGTGATCTAGCTGCCATACCTGCAAACCCGGCAGTTTTCCGTGTCTCTCTGCCCCCAGCGTAGACATCAGCTACAGATGTGCATCGTCTACAGAGCTGGTTTGCAGGTCATGTGATAATGAGGACCGATAACAGCTGAATCAGCTGGGATCCCTTAGTCTTCAGATTCTGTGGGAGCTCCTGAGGCCATTTACTGGGACAACCCCTGGGTTATAACACGCTAGTGGGCCCAGCTAGGACCAAGCACGTTCCATAGCTTGGGTTTCAGAAACCATAGATCAAGACCTTGCTGCATACATAGGTAGTTCCCAGAGGAAGAAATACTCACTGTGAAATGAAGTGGTTAAATTCCTCACACCATGCTTCTGGGTGCAGCAAAGTGGGTGGAGGATTTCTGAAAAACAAAAGCAAGGCTTTGCATTAAAATAAACTGAGGTTTGGTAAAGGGCAAAATATCAGTTAGTGTTTGTTGATGCCCTTCTAAGCAGCGGAGGGGGGGGGATTGCTCTTTCCCAGGTGGGGAGCATTCACTTGTGGAAACCCACAGAGCCAGCCCCTCCTCCTGTGGTCACTCATTTTCCCAGATTGAAGGGGACTTTGTCCTGACCTCAGCACTAGTGTGAGGCACAAAGAGCAGGGGCATTCTTCAAGAACAGACCCGCTAATGAGCAGCCAGACAAACACACAAACCATTGTATCTGAGAGCAGAGGATTATGGGTGCTGTAAGAAAGCTATAAGCATGATGCCAGGGGGCCTAGAGAAATCGACTTTTAATTATGCAGGGTTTTCAGATCATTATGGTGCCATTTGAATTAATTATATGACACATCTAAAGCATACTCATGATTGCATCAGTCACATTTTAACTGTTTCCTATGTGCCAACCTCTGCAATAGGCAGAGGAGAAATTGAAAGCCTCCAAACAGTGCCCCAGCTTCTACGAGCTTCCCAAAGGGAGGCAGACATGTTCCATGCCTGATCACCGGAGGTCCATGAGAACAGGGCATAACAGGAAAGTTCCTAGGTAAGCGGCTCACTAGACCACCCCCAGTGAGAAATCAGCAAAGGAGAAAAGGCAGAGCCTTGAATTTATCTACTAGTTCCGAAAAGAGATTCGTCTACACAACAAAAGTGGGGCTCAGGGGTGACTCAGTGGGTAAGGATGCTTGCTATGCAAGCAAGGGGGTCTGCATTTGAATCCCCAGCACCCCAGAAAAGCCAGGCATGCCTACACATGCCTATAATCCCGGCATTGGAAGGGACAGGGTGGAGTCAGGCACATCCTGGGAGCTCACTGAGCAGTGAGCTTAGCTGAAACGGTGAACTTCAGGTTCAGTGAAAGACCTTGTCTCAAAATACAAAGGGGAAGACAATAGAGGAAAACACCAGACATCTTTCTTTGATGTCTACATGAGTGTGCGTGGGCACACGCACCCCTCCTTGGACACACAGTCACAGTCACATGCACAAAGCCGAAGTGAACTGACTGTACTCCTTGCCATTAGTGGGAACAGGGGCTGGTGGGTAAATTGAGTTCAGTAAATAAAAGAACACTTCCACACACTCAAGTCATGACTGTACATTTTGCTTGAGTACTGACTGTTTTCTAAGGCAGAATACTGCTCAGCTTCAAGGGACAGAGGAATGGAAAGCCGTAAGAACAGCTAGAGATTAGAAAAAAAAAATTTCAGATAATGTGATTGCAATGCATCTCTCAGGATCTATTCTCTTCCCATTTCTTATATCACAGTTTTTATTCTGACATTGCTACCATATCAAAGGCTACAATTTCCTGGGCATCTTGATCCTGGATGTGGCTGCATGACTGAATTCTGACTGATGATGTACAAGTCAAATTGTTCTATGGTGTTTCCAAAGAGTCTACTCAGAGAGAACAGACATGCTACCCTCTTTCTTCTCTGCTTGTACATCCTATGTGCTGGGGCCTGCTGGTGTAGGAATTTGGGGTCTAGCAGTCCATGATGCAGAATAACCAGCTCTCCTTTGGATAAAATGTATAGGCATTTCAATGTAATGTAAGAAGATAAATCTGATGGAAAATGACAGTTTGGAGTTTACCTGCCTCAATGCCTGAGGTCTGAACCTAAAACTGAACTCCTGTAAAGATAGCCCCATGGTCACAGACAGCACTAAAGCTATGTGAGGTTGACCTCTGACCTCTATATGCACACTCATGTATGCACTCATGCACACACACAGAGACATCTTCACACATAAACACATACACACACGAAGCAAGAGGTAGAGAGTCAGTGTGAAAGAAACACAGCTCATTCCTGCTTCCTTTGAAAATGGAGTGGGTGGGCTGTGACGCCAGGAATGCAGGCAGACCCTTGTGACATGGGGCTGAGCATCAATTGTTACTCAGAAAAACCAGAGACCCTCAGTTCTATACACACTTGGGACTGAATTATGCTTGTAACCTGAGTGATGAGAAAGCAAATTCTCCCCCAAGCCTTGGAAAAGAACGCAGCCCTGCTGAATGCTTGGTCTTAGCACAGTGGAGTCACATCGGACTTCCAGGCTACAGAACTGTGAGATAATAAATTTGGATTGTTTTAAGTCACGAAGTTCAGGGTAATTTGCTATGACAATAGCAGAGACCTAATACATCAATCAAGCATCACATCCTCTCTACTCTACTTTGGAGTCCCTCTTTCCCATTCCAAACCAGCCATACATCATCTCAGCCCATACTTCCCCAGAAACCTGTGTCCTCCATTTCATCCTCTGCAGTCCAACTGGTATCCAGTGGCTAAAATTGCCTCATAACATACACATTTGACCTTGTATGACCTTGCTCAAATTTCCTTGCAGATCCTCACTGCCAGCATGACCAAATCTCAACCCCTTTACATAATACATAGGTTATCTTTCCAGCTGGGTGGTGGTGGCGCACGCCTTTAATCCCAGCACTCGGGAGGCAGAGGCAGGCGAATCTCTGTGAGTTCGAGGCCAGCCTGGGCTACCAAGTGAGTTCCAGGAAAGGCGCAAAGCTACACAAGAGAAACCCTGTCTCGAAAAACCAAAAAAAAAAAATATATATATATATATAGGTTATCTTTCCTACCAATACCATTTCAAACCATGTCCTCCACTCAGAACCTGTGCCTCCCAACAAGTTCTTTCCTTTACTGCCTCAGGACCATTGTACATGGTGGATTGACCCAACTGGTCACCTGGTGGGCTCTTGTTCATTCTTCATGCCTAGCTATCATGCTTAATACAATATTCTATAGTTAAAACATTTGTTTTTATGTTTATGGATGTGTTGCCTGCCTATATGTCTATGTACCACATGTATGCTGCTGCCTCAGAGGCTAGAAGAGGGTACCAGATCCCTCAAGACGAGAGTTACAACCAGTGTGGGTACTGGGAATAGGACCCAGGCCCTCTGGAAGAGCAGCCCATATTCTTAACCACTAAGCTGTCTCTTCAGACCCATTATTCTGTGGTGGTAATCTAATTGTACTGAAATGTGATTTTGATTGTATGTTAATAAATAAAGTTGCCCGGGGGTCAGAGCTATTAGAGCCATAGCAAGAGTGTGGCGGTGGTGGCACACGCCTTTAATCCCATAGATCTCTGTGTGTTCAGGGATACAGCCAGCATTGGAGACATATGCCTTTAAGACCTAGGGGGCTGTACATTCAGACAGTGACGAGGCAGTCACGTGTTTGGGTTTACAACCAATGAGAAGGCAGAACAAAATACTATAAATAGACGAACAGACAGGATATAGTTCTCTTTCGGGAAGCTGGGACACCGCAGGTGGAAGGGTGAGATTTTAGCTCTGAGCTCTGACCTCTCGGCTTTCTCTTTTACATTGTTTCTGTATTTCTTATTTAATAAGATTGTTGGTTACATCAACATTACATTTACATCTGTAAATTTTTGATGAATAAGTTACTACATGAATAAATACATATATGTTGTAAGTAATAAATGCAACTTGGACCCCAAATACATATATATTGTAAGTAAGTAATAGTTCCAGGAATAAATACAACTTGGCCCCCAAAGTGGCACAGTACATAGAAAAGCATGAATAGCCCTCTTGGATGAAAGCAGATTCCAAATACATTATTCACAGTAAGCAGGGTGATAGTGAATGAAAGAATGCCAACTTGTGCTGAGCTTGACGATATGATCCGCAGTCTCCACTTCTGAAGTCCACATATCCCCACATACTTGAACACATCTGTGTTTGCTACTTGTCTTATTGCTGCCCCAAACCACCTGACAAAAGCGACTTCAGGAGGGGAGGGCTTATTGGGGCTCACAGCTCCAGGGACCGTCTATTGTGACGGGGAAATCACGGTGGCAGGAGTGAGAAGCAGCTGTCCCCAGTCAGGAAGCTTGCTTTCTCCCTTCTATCCAGGACACCAGCCTAGGGAATGATGCTGCCCTCATGTGGTGGTGGTGGCAGAGGCGTGGGAGTGTCTTCCTAGTTCAATTAACTTGACCAAGATAATCCCTCAAAGACATGCCTAGAGATTTGCCTCCAACGTGACTTTATACCCAGTCAACTGGCAATCAGTATACACTATCACAGTATCCAACAGTTATAAACCAACAATGACGTAAGTTTCACTGTAGATATAGCTGATGTCAGCACATTATATACATTCCTGTGGTGGCCTGAAGACAGAAGATGAAGGCTAATATGAGTCATACTGAATTCTTGGTCCCCAAAGCTCCAGCTGAATGCTTCACTTTACAGGTCACCTCACCAGCTCCCTAATCTTATAATATCAGAAGTGAGGAAAATATAGCTTCCAAAAACTTTTCAGCTGGGATGGTGGTGCGTTCCTATAATCCTAGCGCTTAGGATGTTGAGTTTGAGACCAACCTTAGCTACAGTGAGACCCTGTCTGTTCACTTCCACGCTTCACTTTTTAATTGGGTTGTATTTTATTAGTTATTTTTTATTGAAAAATATTTATACATTATACTTTGATCATGTTTTCCCTGCCCAATTCCTCCTAGGACTTCCCAACCTCCCAATCTACCCAACACATATTAGTTCTCTCTTTCTCCAAAAAAATATCCAAAACAAACAAAAACAAAAACAAGCAAATACCACATGGAAATAAAATAAAAACCGACAAAACATAACCCTTTTTCTCCCTCAAAAGTATCCAGGAAAAGTGGAAGAGTCCAGTTTTAAGTTAAGACATTTCTTTCTTCAACGTTTACATACTCTACAGTTTTCTATTCATGAAAAGTCTATTACTTTGGGAGACAAATTAGGTGAACACGTATGCAAAAAATGCCAAAAATCAATTAGCAAGCAACCCTCATGAAGGAACAAAATAAAATTATCAAACACAGGGAGCACATTCAGCAAGGGTGTGAAGAGAGGTCTCTCC